CCCTACCTGCCCACCCGCCCCCGGGGCTGGCGAAGGGAGCGGGCTGGCTGTCTCGGGGCAGGCTCGCCCCATGCCTGTCTGCGGCGCTTTGCCTTCAGCTGGGCCACTGCGGAGGCAACCGGAGGGATTTCATGCTTCCGTGAGCTCCAAAAGGGCTAAATGGGGGATCCAAAAAGTGATCAACCAGTCGCTTCTTGCGGGCCACTGGTGTTTGCAATGAAAAGAGAAAGGAGGAGGGAGAGGGAGTGTGTGTGTGCGTGCAGGGGTGTTGTTCCAAAACTTCCCAGTGCACAAACATACCTGACATGGTTTGCATTGCCTCGCTCGGAGGGTTACAAAAACACCGCGGAGAAAGGGAGGAGGAAAAGACTGGCCGATTGCAAACCCCCTCCCGTGCAGGGACCTGGAAAGTTGAACGCCTTCAATTCAGCAAGAGGGGGCAGCGCCGGGGGAGCCGGGCTGGGTGGAGGGCTGCACACCGCTGCTTTGGGGTGTCTGGGGAGAGCTATTGCTCCTGGGAGGTTACACAGGTTGCACATTTGCAGGAACGTGTGGAAATCTGGCTGCACTGCTAGCAAACGGAGCAGGGCTTGGTGCAAAAGGCGTGTGCAGATAGGATAATCTAGGAATTTGGAGAGATGTATCAAGGGAATTAGGCAAGTAGACATTGCTGGCTCTTCCCGGACTGATGTCTCTGCCAACGCAGATCACAACATTTGCACATGACATTTAATCCCCTACAAAGCTCTTTGGCTCTCCGCAGTCAGTTATTGTTATTATTATTGCTCTAATATTTATGTTTCACTCCCAAGCAAATGTAATTTGCACAGAAGGCCTGATTGCTTTGTAGATCCCCAGCCCGTAATCCAACTTTCTTTTTGAGTTCCCAAGAAACCACACCTCCGGCTCCTCTCATTTACACAAAAATTGCCCTGTTTAGGGCATGTGAGTTCCAGCTGCACTTTCAGTTTTGGTGGGGGCAAATCTGGGCCTGGTTAACCTGATGCTTTCTCTACGGGGTGTTTCAGCAGCCGTGGTGGGGACCCGCAGCATAGGCACAGCTTGCAAGAAGCTGCATTTCTCTCTCCTGGGACTCAGGGCTCTTGGCTCCTAACCGATGCAGAAATATTTATACACTTGCCCTGCTGATGACCAGAGTCAGTGTGACTGGTGCTGCACAAACACAGCATACTGCATGAGGAATTCAGACCTGAACAAAACGCAGCAGAATTAGCTCCAAGACTTAAACAAAGTATCCGAGAGTCATTGCTCTGGTTTTAGTGGAGTAAGCAAGAGTGGTGAGGACAGGGAATAGCCCTCCTGCATGAGACACTTGTAAATCCCTGCCTTTCTCTGTGGTTACACTGCAGGTGTGGCTGATGCTAAATCTTCTGCAGCAAGTGAACATGGCCAGTGACAAGCTTCAGCCTGCTGAAACCCATGGCAGAACTGCTGGCCACAGTGGGAACAGGTCTACACCCAGTAAGACTTTTCCTTAAACTAGACAGTCCTTGCAAATGAGAAACAAGCAGTAAGGAGATCTCCCATGAACTGAGAAGTGGACTGTAGAAGGAACCAAGCTTCTAGTGCAAATACTGGCAGAAATCACTGAACACTAAGCTATTCAGCAACCCTGTGAACCTCTAATGATCAACTCAGTTTTCAATTCTACACCCAAAAGTGCAGCCAACTGAGATAAGCCCCTGGAATACTATATTTTCTCTTGCTAAATGTTTGCTTTAGGGCACGCAGAATAGCAGAATAGAAAGCTCTGTGTATAATATTTGGCTTATTTAGAGCAGACTGGTCAGATACGCACCAGCCTGCAGAACTCCTGGCCTTATCAAATGGGTTCCCAAATGACTCACGCGCTCTTGGGGACTTGCAGGTGGATTCATCCACTGTAGAGACTCTTAACAGCACTGCAGGCACCAAATACACCCAAGAAAATAGAGGCACTCTCTGATGGTAAAATTGTTAAACCCTCTGATTTATTTGTGTACTTCTCTGCGGTAACAATGGTTTAATTTGGGTGGGTGCAGACAGAACAAATAATAATGCAGATTAGCCTGGAAAATGTTACTATATTCTGTACACTGGAGTAAAAGAGTGGATGTTACGTAGCAGTTGTAACATCCGCAGTATCATTCAGAAATTTCCATGTCCCCTCCCGACTTCAGTTGCTCCTACCTCCCAAAGAAGGCTACCCTCAATTTTCAAGCTATTTGCAAGGTGAAATTACTTTCTGAGCAACATGTTACAGGGAGTGGGACCAGAAGAACACAATGACCTTGCAACAATGTTCTGAGCTCAATGTGAAAAAAATACCAGAAGCAAATTCGGAGCTCAGTCCACAGGGAACACCCCAGCATAGCTGAAGAAACCTCACTGTGACCTGATTGATGGAGGCCTGGTGCGAACACCTGCCCTGATGGAACAAATAAACCCCATGCATTTCTGGGCACTGGCAGTATTATCCCGATTTCATGGAACATTCTGCACAGACTCTGGAGGACTATGCTGACAAGCTGAGATATGGAAGATGTGGGGTGAAGAAAACAGGTTTTGGCTTGAGAGAGACAGACTCTTGAACAAACTTTGCCGGGGAGCTGGGAGTTAGAGGGGGCAGCTGATTAGTTTAACAAAATGTTTTTGTCCAGATAGACTTCTGCTGAATTTGTGGGGCTTAGGAATGGCACGGTGTTTACTGGCTAGTTAACTGTAGGACAAAAATTACAAATGTTTGTCTTGCAAATCTTAAACAGTGCAGGAAGAAGTTGTTCTGCAAATCTTATTTTTAGATTAAAGCATCCACCTGGAACTCAGGGGATGAGGACGGGAAGAAGCCCATGCTTGTTGTGCCACAGTGGTGCTGGGACACAAATCTGGCAGTCACAGGCCCACCTGTTTTCAGAGGTGAAGGCAGCAATGCAGGAAGCAAGGGGTACGTGACTGGAGGAAGATGGGGCTGCTGGGGAATGAGTGGCCAAACTCAGGTGTTTTCCCATCCTGGGGACAAGAACAGGTCTACCAGTTCTTCAGGGTATATTTTGGTGTGGGTTGCACCCCTCTCCAGCCCTGAACTGTTTTGTTGAGTTTAGAAGAGGCTGGGGACATTCATGAGTCACCAGGGAGCAAAGATCTGTCCTACAGCATCTCCGTTCCAGCTGCCCTTCTGCTCTGCACTGAAGGAGGCCAGAGAGGCTTGCTGACTTTCCCATCTGCGCTGTACAAGGTTGTTTGGAGACAATCCAGGTTGCACGGACTTGAGCGCTTTTGCAGTGGCTGTTGGCCCAAGCTATCCCTCAGGCATTCATCAGGAGGTTCAAAGGGACACCGCCACTGTGCCCACCAGCTGTTCGGCGACGGATGCACCTCTGCAATGTGCTTTGCCTTCCTGTGCTGATGATGGAAGGGGTCTCCTTCCTGGCTTTCCCTTCTCTTATTTATGGATGATTTGCAGCAAATGGAGCAGAAGGGAAGACGCCTGGGGTGGGATCTTTGGGTGGAGTCTGACCGCCACGGCCATCAATCGTCCTCAACGTCTTTTTTTATTTCTATTTTTCCTCTTGCCGTGCTGTGACTCAGCAGGGAGCAAAGAAAAGTTTCTTTGCCTCCTGCAGAGAACCAGTGAAGTCCCAGTCAGCCAGGCTGGGTCAACCAGGGCTAGCCTGACTGATCTGAGCTGTCTAACGCAGTAGCTCGCACGAGTCCCAGGAGCCACGAGCTGTCTGCTGTTACTTCAGGAGGAAAACAGAGTTGATTCCGTTGGAAGCGTATGCCCTGTCTGGGGAGAGCAAAGGCTAAGTCCCTTCCTCTTGAGTTTAGGCCAGTATTACTCAAAGAAAGTTGATCCTTTTACTCGCTGCTTTTACTGGTTTTAGCAAAATCTGAGCAGCAACTCAAGCACAAGCTTTCTGGAATTGGGGGAACCCAGACAGAGAGGGAAATTTGTCAATGTTATGGCAGTGACTGAACCCTTCCCAGAACAAAGAGACAGCAGCTAGTTTGAGCAGCCAGGACAGCAAAATCGCAGCCTTGCTGTGACTTTACGCTTCGTGTGAGCAAAGTTCCTTTAAAATAGCTAACTGGTGTGATGACAGCCTCCTCACCTGCACTACAGAACTGTTTGCTGGGCATAATAAATGCTATTCACAACAGCCCACTGTGGGAGTTTCTTTCTTTGGCTCTGGCATAAGAAAACGTCCCATGTGGAGACTTTCTACCTCATCAGAGATCGTTTAGGAGAACTCGAGATCATAATTTCATATGGGACCTGTGAAAGGCTGGGGAGCTGAAACGCTGATCTTCTTGTTGAGAATTTTCCTCCCCGCTGATTCAGAATAGAATCACGAAAAGGAATTTGATCTTCTTAAGCCGATGTAACGTAAAGATCCAACCTGGGCAGAGCTTCAGGGGGAAAAGGAGGGAGCATGGCTGATGCTGGGGCCAGGGCAGACGGGACCAGGCATATTTCAGCTACCTCAAAAGCAGGATTATTGAAATGTGGGTCTCCAGAGCTCCTGAATTGCCACCATCTTAAAACTCCCTTTGCCAAATAATTAACTCTTCTCTAGCATTTGCTTTACAATGATGAATAGTATCTCATGGGCTCAGCTTCATTTGCAGCTGTGGTAGTTCTGTGGCAGGCTTTATGTCCGTGTGGCAGATGAAGGGGGTATTTTGTTCTTTCTTTGTTTAAAAATTTGAGAAAAGATTCCAAAAAGCATCCCGCTCCCTTATGCAAATTCACAAGGTGAGGAATCTGTGCTGATTGACCCAACAGGACTGCGCCTGTCCATGGGTCTGGGCAAAGACAACCAGGTGAATGACCTCCAGTGTTTTGTTTTAGTACCTTCCTGAAGCAGAGTGTCCTTTAGACGCGAGGCTGAGTGTGGCCTACACTGACACCGTCTCAGAGCATCCCCCGGGCACCAGCCCTGCTCCCTTGCAGTTTCCACGGGCAGAACCAAGCTGAGGCCAGCTTGCCTTTTATTTGCTACCAATGGCTAGACAGGATGAATCCAGAAGATACAATAGCTACCGTTATCTACTTTCTGCTTCAAACAGAA